CAGTCCCGGTTTGGCCATATGCAAATATACAAACATTGTAACCATCTAGAACTGAAGCTGCAAATGGCGCAGTATCTTCAAACACATCTCCTACAAATTCAGGTACACAAATAATCAATATATTGTTTCACTGTGATCATTTACATTGTACTTTCATTCTTTACCTTGATTTGCCTGAGGACCAAATACAGAATCAAACTTAAAGATCCTTCTGGGAGCCCCATTTGACTTAACAATCAACTCGCCATCTTTGGCTGACTCAAAATCAACAACCATTGAAGCTCCAGAAGAAATCTCTTCTGTATTTAAAGGTCTACATCGACAAAAGACCCTAATGTTTCCTGCGGTGAAGAGCATGACATCACTAACCACCTTCAGTTTCTCAAACTTGGGTCAATCTTTTGAAACAAGAACACTACAGAAAATCTAGCTGACCTTTCAACTCCAACATCTTATTGTAGAGTTCTTTCCGTTCCTTAGCTCCTTCAACAAATTTAGTCTTCAGGGTTTCTTGCATATCTAATTGCTGTTTAACTATCAAAAGCAGAGGGGGAAAAACAAGTATACTCATATAATTAGTTAGCAATGTATTCATAGAATAAACCTTACGCAGATTCTTGTAAAAAGTTGGCATGCTAGCTTACCTGCTGTCTGAATTTTTGAAGTCATTTCATTCATATCCACAAAGCAGTTCTTGAATGCCAATGCCTCCTCTGATAATTTGATGTTTTCTATTTTCATAATCTGAGATATGAAACTTCTCAATAATCCAATCTGATTTTTCATGAACGTTTGTATGTTGAATGTTTACTTTTACATACCTTTAGTTTTCTGGTAAGGTCTCTCAACGAAGAAAACCATTTGCCCTTCTCTTTCACCTGTCCCTCAATGGCAAAAGCTGCAAAGGGAAACCCATCAAAGGATCACCAAATAAATAGTGAAATAGCTAGAAGCTACAGAAGTCAGTGTCTATTACCAAGAGATCCAACATGCATTGACTTGCGCATGAGCTCATTTTGCAGCTCATTTAAAGACTTCCAAGCTTCTTGACATTCTCTACTCTTTTGATTGTTTTCCTTTCTAAGTTCCTCCATGTTCTTCCTTGCTGCTGCTAGCTCATTCTTCATGAGCTCAAGATCCTTTTGCAGCACTAGGCACTTCTCTTTTACTATCAAGTCATCACTATCCTACAAAACATGATTGAAATAATTTTATATATAAGGCCCACAACAATTTTAATCCTAAGTTTAATCAAATTCATTAGAAGGCCTACTTTGGACATCTCCCCGTTGGATAGTTGAGATGATCGCGTTTCTTCAAGCAGTTCAACTTCTTTTCTATCTGTGATGAGAATTGTCCATTGTCACAAGATGATAAAGACTAAATCTTGAACAAGATGAACTAATAGGAAAAAAAAAGAAAAAAAAATGCTTGGTTTACTCACTTGAAGGGAGATCTTTCCTCACAGAAATACCACAAACAATTGGCCTGCCCATCTGTCCTTCAAATCTAATGGTTAAATCTTTTACATCGACAGAAGTTTTGAGGTCAGATATAATGAGAGGCTTATTCCCACCGACACGAGCATATATATCCAGGCCAGAAACAACCTACAATCAAACCAACAACATATCTATCGAGATTTCTTAAGATTGGAACAAAAAATCAATAGATGTTCTGCAGGTGATTGGGCAATGAGATGTAGATTCTTACATTCTGGTCTTGCAAATAGACATCAAACACCCTCATACCAGGTGGGCCATTGGTAAATACAATTTCAGCAAAATGCAGGTCAACAACATAATTCCCAGGTTCCAATGATGAGAAATTGTAACAAAAATCCCCAAAACGAGCCGTTTGATACAGAGGATGCTCAATTTCATCAGACCTAATGGTATCACCACCCTTATACCAATTGTCTTCCCCATAGTTTATCCCATCCAAATCCACAGCATCACTTGGAGCACCTGCATTGACACTTATAGCTTGAAGGAGTTCTTCAGTTTTCAAAGAACTGGTAGCTGGAGAAGGAGCCAACTCAAAGGAAGATTCTGGAGACAGCTCTTGCTCATATGTTTCATACAACTTGGAAAATCTAACAGATGGGGTTATCTGGTTATAGCTAACCTCAACACCCGTAAAGCTATTTTCAAAGGAAAGCTCTACGGGAGATTCCATAAGTTTACAACACTTAATATCCAAGATTTCTGGTGAATCACAGTAGTTATTGACTGGAATATCGGGAGAAGCAGCAGAGATACCTAGATCAAGAGAAGTCGAGGTAAATTCCGGCACGGATTTCCCTGCAACTTATAATGATTAAAGATTAGTCCAAAAAAAAAACAGAAGACCACAACAGAAGAAAATTAGGGTTTTCAACATCACTTCAACTGAATGAAAATTAGGGCATCAAAACAGTACAAATCAAAGAAACCTCTGAATTCACGGACATCAGTAAAGAACCCAGTAACCCACCACTAAATTTCCAATCAATCACATTACCTCACTTATAACAAGCCAATTTCATCTTAAGAGCACCAGATAAACAGCAAGAAAAAGATCAAAACAAAAGAATCGAACAGTAATACCTTCACCAGGGATGGAACAGGAATCTTGATCATGCATTGCCACCAAACTCTTGGAAATGGGAAACAGGGGAAAGAACAGGGCAATAGAAGAAGGGGAGGAGGAGATTCAAATGGCAGAGGCGGTAAGTAATGGAAATTCCTAAAAGAAGCAATAATCAGAGTCTGTAAAGAGAATGAAAAAGGGGAAAAGAAATGTTAGTGCTCTCAAATTTCTCAAACTTTTTTTGGAACAGAGAGAGAGGGCGATGGTTTTGGTTAAAGAGAGGGAAATTTTGCGTTACTCTTTCCAGAATGTTAGTCGACCGTTAGGGTTTTTTTTTTTTTTTTTTTTTTTTTTTTNTCTTTCCAGAATGTTAGTCGACCGTTAGGTTTTTTTTTTTTTTTTTTTTTTTTTTTTGAAATTTGAAATTTGGACCCTGCCAAAATTTTATTTAATATTTAAAAGAAAATAGCAGGAATTTGAAATTTGTTAAACCGGGCAGGGCGGGCACGGGCAAATCACATACAGTTATTTTATTTTTAATTTCTGTATTTTCCTTTTGTGGACCAACAAAATTAAATACTCTAACAAATTATGCTTTGTTTTTATTTTCTTTCCTTATTAAAAAAAAATTAATTTATATTCTTAAATTTTAAAAAATAATAATTTCATTAAAGTCTAAATTTTTCTAAATTTATCAATTAAATTGAAAACATTAGTTTACTCAAATAAAAACTTATTATTATATAAATTAAACTTTGAAATTTATAAATAAATCAAGTTTTTAATTGAAATAAGTATACTAATATAAAATAAAAAAGTATACTAATATAAAAGCTCACTATTTAAATTGATATAATTATTTTTAGTTTCGTAAAAAAAAAGAAGTAAATTTTTACCTTTAGTTTAAAAAAAGTTTAATATTTTTTTTTTAATTTCTTCCTTAAAAATGTATAAATGACATTAATAAAATGTGCCTTGAAATAAATGCATATTTATTTTGATTTTTTTATATACATAATTTTGTGGTCCAAGATCAGACTCCCCTTCTCGATAATTTATACCTCAAATATTAAATAAATGAACAACCTTAAATCTTAGGATTTAAGTTTGTGTATCTTTCGAGCACAACTTTAGGTTGAGATTTATAAATTTGATTTGAAGAGAGATTGTCCAACAACTTTAAATATTAGGGTTTAGGTTTATGTATCTCTCGAACACAGTTGTTATAGGTTCAGAGAGGGATCGAGACACATGCCATCTTATTAGCCCGAAAATCTCAATATGAATTCAAATTAATTTTTTTTTGTGAAATAAATTTATTTTTATGATTTAGGGGAAAATATATATTAATTTTGGGGAATAATGATAAATTTAATTGCAACAACTTTTTATAGCTTTATGAAACACAATAACTCAAATTAAAGTTAGATAGTGAATAATCGTAACAATATAAATAAAGTTTGGATTTTTTTAAAAAAACATTAAATTTAAAACACACAACTCAAACCTAGGGTTGGGTTGGGTTGGGTCTATTCATAGTTAATTTAAACGACACAATTCACAATCCACCTCTTGGAGATTCAGTGTCTTCGCTGACATACAGTTCGGTGTTTGGCTAAGATCATTTGTAACTGTCTAAAGCCACCACTAACATATATTGTCCGCTTTAGTCCGTTACGTATCACCGTCAGCCTCACATCAGAAGAAGTTTTCACACTTTTATAAGGAATACTTTGTTTCCTCGATGGGATCTCAAAATCCATCCACTTTGGGGAGCTCAACGTTCTAGTTGGAACATAGCTCAATGTCTGGTTTTTATTACCATTTGTAACAGCTCGAGGCGATTTCTAGTAAATATTGTCTACATGGTTTTAAAACGTGTCTATTAGAGATAGTTTTCAACACTGAATGTTTCGATTCCTTCTTCAACCGACGTGTGATCTCACAAATCTTAAGAATATGATAGTAAAATTTGCTTAAAAGAAATAAAAGTTACCTCAATCAAAGATAATTAGGTAACATGGTCGTATCAATGACACGATAATTACGTGTTGAATCCGAATTCTAAATCCCGTTTCAAAACCAGACAGCCAAATCTCGGATACCTACAATTCCAAATTTAAATAATCGATCCTATTATAGACAAGAATGTGATATATAGCTTTATGTTTAATAAGAAAAGAAGTAGAAGTAGTGATATTACCAACTTTTGGTTCCTCTAATTGAAGGAACAGTGTAGAAACGTGTATAGATTATTGGCCTCACACATACACATATTGAGGATAAAAATTCACATAGAAATGCGTGTGGCCTCAATTCATTTCTCATTAATAGCGATTCAGGAAAGCTAAGCAAGCTCCTTCAATGCTAGCTCCCACTGCAACTCAACCACCACCATTAATGGACCATAAATCAACCGCAGATGATGAGCCTTATAATTGGACCAACCACATTACAAACCCAAACCCTCACCTTCCAATCTCTCCATATGGACGACAAATACAGCACTAATGGTGGAGCAGCGGCGGCGAGCTCGTCGGCTGTTGCCGATGAAAGCCTTAGCAGCAGTGGCATGCGGGTGGCGGACACGTTGCTCCGCCTTGCATCGATGGGGCTCTGCGTGGCGGCGCTTATTGTGATGCTCAAGAACTCCCAGACCGATGACTACGGCTCTGTTGCTTACTCCGACCTTGGAGCTTTCAAGTATGTTTAACAAAAACGAAAAAGGAAACCACTTTTCGTCATTTTTTTAATCTATGGAGTTTTCTTTGTCTTTTTTCTATTAAGTTTTGTCGGATCTGAAATGGGTTTTTGAAAATTTTGGTTATGGATTTGGTTATTTAGCTAGTGGGCCTAATATTAAGTCTGGATGTAAATCTATTATATCTAATAAGTAATATCGGAGTAAAGAAGTTGATTTAAATGGTTCTAAACAGATAGATGACTATTTAAGAGGAGGATCAATAGTATTGACATCCCACGTCTGTAGATGAGAAAAACGAAGAATTCACCTCTCTTATAAAAAAAATGTAATTTTATAAATTTTGGAGGGCACAGAGAATAATATGTTGACTATTATAGTTATAGTAATGTTGGTAAGTAAATGTAGGTTTTTGGTGCATGTTAATGGAATATGTGCTGGGTACTCGTTTCTGTCGGCGGTGGTGGCGGCCATGTCTCGACCTTCAACCATGTCTAAAGCTTGGACTCTGTTCTTCCTGGATCAGGTTGGGTTGTGTTGATATTAATAGAAAGTAGATAATAATTAAGATGAATCAAATTGTAATTCATTGTTTACCTCGCATCTCCATAGCTGCTGACCTACATAACCCTGGCGGCGGGGACGGTGTCGACGGAGGTGCTGTACTTAGCCTACAATGGGGACACTGAAATAACATGGAGTGCAGCCTGTGGGTCGTTTGGCAAGTTCTGCAGCAAAGCCACGGCCTCGGTGGTGATCACCTTCGTTGTGGTTGCTTTCTATGCTTTCATTTCCATTCTATCTTCTTACAAGCTCTTCGGTAGATACAGTGCTCCCATGCCGGATCCCTCCAAGCAACTTGAGGTCTCTGCCTTCTCTGGGCGATGCTGAATTGTTTTCATACACTCATTGGTTTTAATGAATCATTTGTGAAGAGCGTGTCATGAACGATTGTATAAACTGTTTGGGCAAAAGCAAAACTTTTATGGTTGTGTACTCAAATTTAATAATTATAAACCCTTTGATTTCGAACTTTTATTTGTTTATTGTCCATGATTCCATTTTTCCAAAATGGGTTGTAGTTAATACCTTTGAAACTTTTGATACCTTATAAGTCTAGCTTCTTAGTTATGTAGAGGTTTCCACACTATTATAAGGAATGATTCGTTATTCTTTCCAACCAAGGGAGGATCTGTTATGTAGAGGTTTTCACACTATTATAAAGAATGATTCTTTACTCTCTCCAACCAAGGAAGGATCTCACAATCCAGCCTATTACGTATCGTTGACAACCTCACTAGTTATGATACCATTTGTAACAACCGAAGCCACCGTTAATAGATATTGTTGGACGTAGGATCTCACATACTATTTCTAAACAAAATTAAGGATTGACCTTAGGATCATTAGGAGTTTAGTTCACTGAAAAGTTTAGGATGATAGAGGGCAAATTTAAGAGAAAACGTGGAATATAAACCCTAAATTTAAAAATGTATTTAGTGTTCCCATGTTCTCACTATGAAACTCAATAATATGAATGATGATGAATAGTATAATTGGGAGGTATTTTTGTAGAACCCCTCAAAACATTGTAGCCCTAAAAACCTTAAAAAAAGGAAAGAAAGAACAAAAAAGGTTAATTTATAGGTATGTTCCAACTCCCCTCCTCATATTTAGCCCTACAAAACTTCTTTTGTACTAAATTGATAAGAAGAATGATTATAAACCCTGTTCCCCAATTCCCTGTTTCCCACAAAAACTCTGATAATTTCCTCAAAATTCCCCTACAAATGGCGTCCTTAGGCAATGCCCTTCTCAGTGTTTGCCTAATTGGATCGCTCATCTCGCAGGCCCAATCCCTCACTTGTTCTTCCCAAACCTTCCCAAAGAGATCCTTCGCCCACTGCGAGGATCTCCCCGAGCTCGGCGCCTTTCTCCACTGGACCCACGATCCCAAAAATTCATCTCTTTCCATCGCCTTCATTGCCACGCCGCCGCACGAGGAGGGATGGGTTGCCTGGGCTGTTAACCCCACCCACACCGGCATGATCGGAGCCCAAGCCCTGATTGCCTCCCAATCTGGAGGCACCCCTTCTGTCCGCACCTTCAACATCTCCTCCTACTCTGTTGTCCTCCCTTCCCACTCCCTATCTTTCCCTGTTTGGGACGTCGCCGCCGAATGCTCCGACGAGCAGTTCACCATCTTTGCTACTGTAAAGGTTCCAGAGAAGGCTAAGTCGTTGAACCAAGTCTGGCAAGTTGGGCCTGGGGTGAATCCCCATTCTGGGATTCCAAAGGTTCATGCCTTCGATTCCTCTAATTTCAATGCCGAAAACGAGTTGGTGTTTGACAAGGAGGGTGGTGCTGATCTTGCCCCACACGCCCACCACGACGCGTCCCCTGCGCCCGAGGCTAGCACCACTGCCGCCTCCAGTGGAGTTGCCCAAATTACAACCAAAAGTATAGGGCTCCTTGTGGCTTATTTTGTATTTATTTGGGGAATTAATAATTTTTTATTTTAATTATTTAACACAAATATTGTTCTTTTTATTTCCTACCTTTTATTCCGGAAATTTTTAAAAAATAATTTGATTTAATTTTGATTTTTCGAACTAGATTAAGTAACTTTGACCTCACTAAACAAAGTAATTGACTTTACTACTGCTGATTTGATTGGATGAATGAATTATTTGAAATATGGATGGTGCATGTCTTGTAATTGATTTATGTTTGTTTATACTATGGAGCTTGATATGCTCTCTACATTATGGAATATCATGTTGACACGTTATGCCTTACATTATGAAAAAACATGAAATGATTATATTAAGTATGAAATGAACTAGTATCATATATATGTCTTAATTTTAAATTATGAGGACCTCATGCATATCATACGAGTTTGTATGAGAGCCTATAATGCGTATATATGGAGGCCACCTTACATTATGAAAAAACATGAAATGATTATGTTACGTAGTATCATATATATATCTTAATTTTAAATTATGAGGACCTCATGCATATCATACGAGTTTGTATGAGAGCCCATATGCGTATATATGGAGGCCACCTTACATTATGAAAAAACATGAAATGATTATGTTACGTATGAAATGAACTAGTATCATATATATGTCTTAATTTTAAATTATGAAGACCTCATGCATATCATACGAATTTGTATGAGAGCCCATATACGGAGACCATGTTATGATATTTTACAAAATGACAAATTTAATGTGTGATTGCATTATTTACAAAACCACAAGTTTAATATGTGATTGCATTATTATTGACATTTTAAACCTCGTTAATTTTTCGTTCACATTCAATAAGAGAGAGAAAAGTTTCCAAATTTTAATTTTTTAATGGATGATATAATATATTAATATTTGAACTATACCAAGGTCCGTGGTTTTTTACTAGCTTTATATACAATTGACCAGCTTTGGAGTGCGGTAAAAATTAATTGGACTAAAAAAGACAAGAGAGTGGGTAGAAAGGAATCACGTGACAAACACATGTAAAACTAAATACGCTCTTTTTTATTTAATATTTTCGATAAGAACTCATATTAGATAATTAAGAGGAATATCACAAGTATACAAGTAAGAGACATTATTTTAACTTAGTCATTTTATTTATTTATTTTAAAACTAAGTCTATAAATGTCACTCCCACGTTATATATATTTAAAAAAATATTTATTTCAAATATTTTTTAATTTAATATAATTTGTGTTCATAAATAAACATCAGACATATTTAAATTAATTTTTTTTTTTTTTTTGTTTGTTTTCCCATGAACTTGGCGACTAATTCAATATTGTTTTAGCTAAATATGAGTTGGATCGAAATAGTAGGCAAATATTAACCATAAGTTGAAACCTTTCTTTTTTTGAGTTCGACTTTAAAGTAATGAACAGACATACTAAAAATATGGCTAACAAGTATAAATATCCTGGTTCGAAAGTCATTGATATCAAACTATTCCAAGTATTAAGTTTTAATGGCCATCTCCAAACGAAACATGCTCGTTTTTATCGGTGCTCTTTTCATTTGTATTGATATGGTTGGGATTACTGCAAATGCAGATTTCATCAACTATGATGCTATAAAAGCTGATGTGAGTCCTGGATGTAGCCCTAAACATCCCAATCTGTGTAAGACGCATGAAGCTAACTCATATCAAAGAGGGTGTAATGCAATCAATCAGTGTAGAGGAGACGATATCATAAATGCTGTTGAAAAAATTGATGTGAAACACAGCGATATCATAAATAGCGAAGGTAAGGCAGGAACCGATGAGATTGTTGGTAAACTTAAAGAAGGTATGGTTAAGGGTAGTACTCGCAAAATTAACCCAGGTGCTTTAGAAAATAATTCCATCAATTGACCCAGGTGCTTATGGAATTTTTGGATGAAATATATATTGTATATTTGCGTAGTACACATTTTTTTTTTTTTTTTATTGGAACTGGAATATGATCCAATAAATGTTCCATGTATTTTATTTTAATGCAAAGAACAATTTTGATATATTTAAATTTTTCATCATCTCTGTGTCTCTTACCTCTATTCATATAAAAAAAATTCGATTTTGACATGTAAACCATTAACTTTATTCTAAAACATATAAAAAAAATAGTGATAATAAGAAAGTGGAGAATTAGACCAAGTATGATAGCAGGGCCTATGAAACAAGATTTGTGCATTGCTCAAGAAATACGATATCATACCCATCCCACTTTATTTTGTCTAATTTTTTCACTTTCTTTGTTTATCTATTATTTTTAATATCACCTAATCACTCAAATTAATAATGTTCACTGCAGATCGCCGTATAAAGTTTAAACATTTTATTAGTTTATAGAATAATAAACACCATAATCAAAGCTAATAAAAAATAAATCATTATATTAACCAAACCAACATACTGAATCTGGACCGTTAGCTTCCAAATTGAATGTCAGTTTTATGAGATATCATGGTCCTTAAAAAATACCATTAAATTCCCTTCACTTATCCACTACATATATAATATTATCACAAACCTGTGTGACCCATGTTACAATTACATTATTTGATAAGATTAGTATAGTATATCAAAAAGACATTATATATTCACACATATTTTTATAAATAATCATGATCTTAATTAATGTCTTAACCAAGGCCCATGAGTGAGTAAAAAATATGAAATTAGAAAGACCCTTTGGAAACTTCAAAGATCAAAAAAGAAAAATAAAATTTAATTATAAACTAATATTATAATACGCTGTAAATTACCAAAAAGGACAACTGTTGGAATATTGGCATCTTTTCCCAAACACCACAACGGACAACGATCAAGAAAAGGACGAAATTATTATTTAATTAAAAATACATATAATTAATATTATAAAATAAAGCTTATAGTTTTTTTTTTTTTTTTTTTTAATTAATAAAATAAAATAATGTATATGAGAGGGAGAGATCCTTGAAAACGACAGGGTTTAGATAACAAGTATGTCACACATCATTACCAAAAAAGCCTTCCAACAAATACCCACAGAGTTCTCTACTCAACGCTCTCTCCTCGGCGCGTGCTCATCAAACGCTTCCTTTTGAATGGAACAGCGAAAAAACAAAATTCCTTTTGGATGCCATAGATGAAACACAACACAGCTTTCGAAATGATGAGAAATAGAAGGGAAAAAAAAAATAATAATAATAAGATGAACAGAAAGAACAAGATCCCTCCGCATACTTACACGAGGATTTTTAATTTTCTTTTTGGTGTTATGAATTGGCGATTGAATTTGTCTTCTAACGGATGAGCGAATCGATCGAATAATGAAAGAGGTCTTGTTAGTGTTACCCGAATTCTGTTTTCTTCTTCTAACTGTCGTTAATGGAGTTTACCTCCGCCGTCTGTTTCGATGATCCGCCTTGTCGTCGTCCGGTTAGTACTACTACTGCCACTACTCTGGTAGCTTCTACTGCTTCCGCTGGTGCCGGTACCGGAGAATAGTTGACCGAACCCGAACACAGAGACGGATTTTGAGGATCCTCTCAGGGAAGAACAAACTGGAACGTTGAGGACGGGAGTTATTCTCACGTTCGCTGAATATGACCTTTCCGTTCCTCTGTTCTTCAGTTTCGGTCCGCCATTGAAGCTGCTTGGACTGCTCGAGCTTCTCTCCAAGTTGTGGAACACGATTTTACCAGAGGAGTTCATTCGTGGACTGTCTACGGATACTCCTCGGATCGCTAATCTAGTGGATTCTCCCGGCGCAGGCCGCATTGGACTTCTACCTACTCTCGTTGCCGTCGGATGATGATCCATTGTTGATCTTGGATTCATCTCCGATTTAGGCCGAGGTTTCACCTGTCTCATTCGCGGAGGATTGCTATTGTTAGGGTTCCGATGGAGAGAAATCGGATTCGTGTTTGGCTTATTTTCCCAATCCAGCGGGAGTCTGTGAAGATCTTCGAGTTCGTGGCCTGAGGAAGACGAGGAAAGAGATACGCGGGAAGAAGATAGCGAAACAGACTCACTATCGGAGTCCTTCAACAATGGAAGGTTCAGTGACGAATCGAACGAAGACAATAACGACGATTTCGAACGCCGGTGAAGTAAATACCTCAGCGCCTTAGAATTGGCTTCCGAGGCGTAAGACGGCGACGTCGTTTTGTGATTTTCGGTTTTGGCGCTGCCATTGCTGCTGCTCTGGTACAGCTTCTTGAGCCCTAAAAGCTCTCTCCATCGACTGGAACATCTCGGCGCCTTGGGAGAGAACAGATATGGATCAGTACTGCATTCTGCCTCAACTTTCCGGCGGGGCTGAGCCGCAGTCTCCGGCAACGAAACGCACCTCATCGACTTCAAAACGTTGACCGAGGGTTTAACAGACGAGACCTGAAATGGCACGAGTTTTCCATTCAGAAACAGCTCATCCGCCGGGAGCATCAAGGCAACGGGATCTTGAAGGCGGAACTCGAACTCACTGACCGGCACTACTTCAGGATCCGAATCTCGAATCTCAGATTCTCCGGCCGGGTCAGCGGCAGGCTTAGTTATAAGTCCTGCGAGGTTAGTAGAAGGCGGGGAGTCGTCGCGGCTGAAGGAGATGCGAGGGCTGAGCCAGCCGTAAGAATGGCAAGGAGCAGAAGAACAATCGAGGAAATTCTCCGGCGACATTCCGATGTTGTTAACGCATGCGGAAGCCATGGATGGCGGCGGCGATCATGCGAAGGAGAAGATGGGGAATACGGTAATAGGGAAGAGGGGGTCACCGGTGAAGGTCAACGTTAATACGTAAATCACATCGGCGGAATATCCGGCGAGATCTGGAGGAGAGAGAGAGAGATAATGATGAGTTGGCCTTTTTAGCAAGAGGACCGTGGTTCAACCGTACAGCAAAACTCCCAATTTATATTGGGAAAGGAAAATCTCTCTTTTTTTATTTTTTATTTTATTTTTATTTTTTTGCAGATGCTGCCAAAATGCCAATGGCGCGCTATTTCCTTTTTTTATTTTAAATTAATATTTTAAAGATACGATAATTTCTCGTCGATTTAAACGTTTACCCCCTCGAGCTTTTTTTTTTCTTTTTTGCTAAATTCTAAAAAAATATTCAAAACTTTCACAATTGTTCTTTCTAAAAAATATTAAAAAAAAAAAAAAAGTTACTTTTTACATTTTATAAACATTAGAAAAATCCTTAAAATGTTTAATAATAAATCATTTACCTCTCCTTTTTATTAATTATTTTAACATATTTCTATTTATGTTTAAATAAATAAAAAATTTAGAGTCATTATTATTATTATTATTATTCAACACTTTTTTAGTTCTAAGATGAAACATTTTTAACACAACTTTTTACTATTAATTTTATAAATTGAATTTGACAAGCATTCTAAGATTTTTTTTTTTTAAGTTATAGTTCATTATAAATGATTAAAATCTTTCTATGTAATAGAAAATAATTTTAAATAATTATGAAATGGAGACTAAAATTGTTAAAAATATATATAAACTAAATCTAAAACTCTACTTATTTTATAATTATCCACGCTATTCATGTTTCTACTTTAATAAATTTAATGATAAATTAAATATAATTTAGTATATTTACTTTTGCATTTGTTTTATTTTTCATATATTTTTAAATATTTAATATCTATTTTGGTTCTCATCCCATATATTATTAAAACAGTTTAGTTCATGACTTTTTAAGTATTAAAATTTAATACATTTAATCGATGTATTTTAGATGAAGTTTAAAATTTGTCAATATTAATTAAAATAGTATTTTTATTAAACATCTCTATAAATTTAAAAAATATGCTCACATCCCATCATTCCTTACTTACAAATTACATATTTTTACTACTATTAAGGTATAAATTCAAAAAATTATTATTAGAGTCGAGCTCATAAACTACGGTGAATTTTATATTTTTTTCGTGGTATGTTATCCACAAATCCTCTTATTATTAAGGGTGGCACATTTGTTCGAAGAATCACATTAAATAAACTATAATCCAATTACAAAATTTTATAATTTTTATTAAAAAAATTTATTGGTGTGAACTATTTGTTTCGTTTTTTAAATTAAACAAAAAATGTTAATAAAATCTGAAAAATCCCTAAAACTAGGGAAGAAATAAAAATCAAGTAATGAAATTAATTGAACCAAAAAAGGAAAAAAGAGCACATTAATTAATCAGTTAAATTACCTAGCCGTTCGCATCGTTGACGGTTTTCCACGGTCAGAGCCAGCTGTCTCGACCGCCGGGGATTTTACACGGACCATATATATTTCTCCCCCCGCATTCACTCTCTTCTTCAGCACATTCCGACGCTAGTAACAGAGCTCTCCATCAACGACCTCTTCCCTTTTGAGTGTTCGTTGCCGAAATCGCTAGATCATTAGCAGGCAATCGGAGGGAGAGAGAGAGCAGAATCGAAAGAAGTTTCTCGCCTCGTCTCGGTGATGAAAAATAGAGGTAATGTAACTTCATTCAGCCTAGTTCGCTCTTCACTATTCTGTTCTGGGTTTGAAATTTTAAGGCTACGGTCGGCTATTCCGATTTAGGGGTTCATTGGAGAACTCCAGAGGTTAATCAAAGGATTGTTTGTTTTTATCGACACCTTTTGTATTTTTCGTAGTTTCGATTACGGAGGATTAGGGCGTTTTTAGTAGGTGCATTGCTCCCATGGTAACGTTGATTATTATCTTGGACTCTTCGTTTCATTCCCCGTCAATCTTCCATCTCTTCTTTGTGTGAGGAGCCAATGGACAAATCCGATATTCAAATTTATGTGTTGGCAGAAGAGAGCAGGACGACGAACTCTTATGTGATTGAGATTTGTTCCGATAACAGAGAGGGGAAAAACAAGGCAGTTGGTCTTGTCATTGAGGCCGGTTGGATTTTCGCATCTGCTAGGAATACTGGTATGATTTCCAAGCCCAAGGCTGTGAAGTAATTCTTGTTTTGAAGTTTTTATTTTATTTTATTTATTATTTGTTGGCTGTGAAGTTGTGTATTGTAGCTTTAGCTTCTTTAGATGTTACCTCTGTTTGGATCATTTCAGCATTTGACTGCAAGTAGGAAGAGATCACAAACTACTGTTTGAAACATGTCTGGCAATGCTACTAATTCTTAGGTTTCGTGACTATTGAGGTTTTTAAACCCAGATTTCTTAACTACACCACTAACATGATTAGATACGAAACTGAGAGGCCTTTATATTCCTCAAGCTTACTACAGCATAGAGGGTAGAGTTGCAAATTGGTTCAGACCATAGGATTCCAACTATTCCAACTATTCCATCTAGACATGGTTATATCCTCAATATGTTAATGAAGTTTCATCCTCAAGAACACAAATATCACAAGATCCAGTTGCTGGGAAAAGACTATTAAAAAAGGAACTCCAATCCAATTTTTTTAGTCAAGGAATCGTGATTTAAGACAACACTTTTGTGCAGCACACTCGAATTGAGTGTCAGTTCACAAAAAGATTCATACATAAGTTAAGGACGAAAGGACGATTATAAGAACAAGTCGAAGAAGGATAAACTCATAAAAAGATCCTCAAAGAACTTAGAAAGACATAACTAAGAACAAGTATCCCCAAGGCAAGGTAAGAACAGTAAACTTTCGGGGACGAAAGTTCTTAAGAGGGGGAGAATTTGTAGGAATCCAAGTGAAGCAAGGATAAGGAAAACAATGCGCCCTAAGTTCTAAAATGTAAGGTAACATAAGGATGACTATGAAAGACTTGTAATCTTAACAAAGGATAAGTTAAGGAGCAAAGGTTGGAATAAGTGCATGGTTGGAATACACAAGTTAAGGATTAAAGGATGCAAGGACGATTATAAGAACAAGCCGAAGAAGGACAAACCCATAAAAAGATCCTCAAAGAACTTGGAAAGACATAACTAAGAACATGTATCCCCTAGGCAAGGTAATAACAATAAACTTTCAGGGACGAAAATTCTTAAGAGGTGGAGAGTTTGCAGGACTACAAGTGTGACTAAGACAACCAAGCAAGGATAAGGAAGGCAATGCGCCCTAAGTTCTTAAATATTGGTAACACAAGGATGACCATAGAAGATTTGTAATCTTAACAAAAAGGATGTTAAAAAGACAGTGACAAGGAGCAAATGTTAGGAGCAAATGTTAGAATAAGTGCATGGCCTCAAGACATAAGTTAAGGACTAAAGGACACAAGGAAGATTATAAGAACAAGTCGAAGAAGGACAAACCCATAAAAAGATCCTCAAAGAACTTGGAAAGACATAACTAAGAACAAATATCCCTTAGACAAGGTAAGAACCGTAAACTTTCCTGGACGAAAGTTCTTAAGAGGGGGAGAATTTGCAGGACTCCAAGTGTGACTAAGACAACCAAATGAGGATAAAGAAGGCAATGTGCCTTCTAAAATACAAGATAACACAAGGATGATCATGGAAGACTTGTAATCTTAACAAAGGATGTTGAGAAGACAATCATAAGGAGTAAATGTTGGAATAAATGCATGGCCTCGAGACATAAGTTAAGGACGAAAGGATGATTATAAGAACAAGCCAAAAAAGGACAAACCCATAAAAAGATCCTCAAAGAACTTGGAAAGACATAACGAAGAACTAGTATCCCCTAGGCAAGGTAAGAACAGTAAACTTTCGGGGGCGAAAATTCTTAAGAGTTGGAGAATTTGCAGGACTCCAAGTGTGACTAAGACAACCAAGTTAGTCTAAGGAAGGCAATGTGCCCTAAGTTCTAAAATATAAGGTAACACAAGGATGACCCTGGAAGACTTGTAATGTTAACAAAAACTCACTTTTCTTGCCTTTGACGCTAAGTTAAACGTATGTCTTTGAAAACTCAATGCTAATGAACACTAATTCCCGAAAATCATAAGCTTAGATCATATGTCCACACCTAATAATGTCCAGGTATTTAAGAGGAAATTTCTTAGCTCCATTTGTGTTAGTCCACTAATCCTAACCCTTTTAGTATTAAGAACTAGCTTGTGCCTTATCGAGGATGATCAATTTCAAATAAGAACTTGCAATTAATTTTATGAATGAATGTATAACCTCATAGAAGTGCACCGAATTAAAAGAGTTCAAACAAACACTTCAATCCTTAAGTAGTACTTATTAGCATTGAAAGAATTACCTTGATTTAAGGAATACGGGTGTCATTCCTAACTTTAAGTTAGGAATGATATTTGTGTAATATCATAAATAAGAGAAGTAGTTGACCCCTAATTTCTGTGTATTGTTATCTAGCAAGGGAATTATTTAGATTTGTTGTTTCCTAATATCTATTGTTGATAACTTGGGGTCAACTACATCCCTTATTTATTATTTATGAGATTACACAAATATCTCTAAACTTAAATTAGGAATTGCACAAGTATTCCTTAGATTAAGGTAATTCTTTCCATGCTAATAAGTACTTAAGGATTGAAGTGTTTGTTTGAACTCTTTTAAATTGGTGCACTTCTATGAGGTTATACATTCATTCATAAAATTAATTGCAAGTTCTTATTAGGATTAGTAGACTAACACAAATGGCGCCAAGAAATTTTCTCAAATACCTAAAAATTATTAGGTGCGGACATACGATCAAATACCTAAGAAATTTTCTCAAATACCTAAAAATTATGAATTTAGGGAATTTGTGTTTTATTAGTGTTCATTAGCATTGTGTTTTCAAACACATATGTTTAACTCAGCGTTAAAGGCAAGAAAAGTGAGTTTTCATAAGCTTTCAGATTGGTGTGTGAAATTTTCAGATTGGGAAGTTGTGGATTTTCGTTACTAGTGTTCCTATATTGGTGGTGTGTGAAAATGAGTTACTTCGACGGGGCAAAAAGAGCCCCTGATTCCTAAATTCTAGTTTTCCATTTTATAATCTGTGTTTTGTCCTCTTAAATCTTTCTGGTGTTAGTTATTTTAGATTTTTGCATTAATAAGTTTGTGCTTAGTTTCATCAAATTTACATTAGTAAGTTTTTGCTTAGTTTCAGCACCTCCTTAAAATTATATGGAAAAGTAGCAGGATAATTCAAACTTGCAACAACATGGTACATGAAAAATCTGATTAGAACTAGACTCCAACTCAATCGATGAAGCCTTCAGAGCTATCTATCATCCATTGTGATCAAGTTTTATTCGCTACCTTCGTAGCTGCTATTCTCTCTGGTAAAACTGTCTATTCAGAATATTTGTAATTGATCTGCATATTGATGCAGCAGTAACTACCTACGGTAGATTGATTCTTATATTGAGCTCAACTTACTTAAGATCCACAACTTCCCTTGATTAGCTTTACACTTTCTTATTATTACGAAGATCCATGGTGTGCGGGAGGTGATTTTAATGTTTCTCATTGGGTCCAGAGCGTCATCATACTAGAACGCATACCAAGGGAATGAAGAATTTTTTAAAAATCATTGAGGAGACTGATTTGATGAAAACTTCCCTTTTGGTGTGGAAGGAAATAGAGTGTTTTGATGCTGAAGCTGCGAGTTAGGATCTTTGTAAGAGCTAAACATTCTACCCATTGGTTTTTGGTTGGATAACTATTTAGTTTTTGACAGTAAAAATTAAGCCGGTAATACTAAGAGAGTACAGAGAATACAGAAAGTACAAATTCTTTAGCCAATATTCTCCTTACATTTTTTCTATCCTGTTCTTTGTATTCATCTGGATCGAGTGTGTGCGTTATTGTGCGATCCTACAACTGGTACCAGAGCTAGGTGGAAGTCACCACGATCTGTGAAGATGGAAATTCAAAGATTGGAATTGAGAAGTTCGATGGATCCAATTTCGATTTTTGGAAGATGCAAATTGAAGATTATCTACACCAGAAAGATCTTCACGAATCCCTGTTGGGGGTGAAGCCAAATACCATGACCATAGAACAGTGGAAGCTCAAGACAAGCCTTAAGATTGATCCGGTTGACGCTATCTAGAAACGTGGCGTTCAACATTATCAAGGAAAAGACAACGTTAGATCTATTGAAGGTGTTGTCGAATATGTACGAAGAACCGTCGGCTATGAACAAGGTGTATTTGATGCGAAGATTGTTCAATCTACAAAGGTAGATTTGTTGTTGATCATGTTAATGAATTCAATAGGACTATAAGTCTTCTATATTCTCTATATTTTCTCTCACTGTACATACTTGGAGTCATCAATACAAATCGTTTAGCCAATATTCTCCTTGCATTTTTTCTATCCTGTTCATAGGGTTATCTATTTGTTAAAATTTTAGAATGAGTTTTAAATTGTGTGCATCATGCAGTCAATATCAAGTCATTTGTGGTGCAATTGCTTATTCAAATAGAAAATTATTAGAAATAGTAGTTCCTAATATTACTCTGTCGTGTTTTAATAAATTTAATAAATTTAGAGTCGAACCTTCTTATTTTCGTCTTCAATGTAATTTTCATATTTTTTTTAATTTTATATTTACAGAGATTTCTGAATAAGCGAGGGCATAATATGGTGATAATTTTATTTATTTTTTTTCTAACAATGGTTTTAATTAAAAATAAATTATTGTTAGGAACATGTTCTTAAAATGATCTAAATCATAAGTTTGTCTGGTTGATTTAAACAAATATCGAAGTATCATAGAGTGAAGTTATGAGGGACAGGAGAAGCACTGGGATAGGGCTTTCATAACACCACCATCTGCCAAGTGACACAGTCTTCAACCTCAAGCAGTCTAAAGTTTGAACTCCCAATTCATGCAGCTGCTTCTGCAATACTTCACATGGTAGCTGTTCTGATGAAAGGACACAACAAACAGAAGCAATCTGCCTCACCAGCTGCCAGAAACTGCATCTCATTCAGCATCAGCTGCTCGGGAACACATTGGGAGCGGTTTTCATTTCAAAACGGCTGTTGGTTTTCGAACGGTAGCTCCACAGGAGTTGCATTGCCGTAAAACTCTTCCAAGTTGTAGAATGCCCTTTGCTGGGGTAGAAATATATGGATAACCACATCTCCTGAGAACAAAAACAAACAACAGGGGAACAATTTGATCGGTCCATTATGAAATGATCCTATAGTTAAGAAGAGGTTATGAAGCTATCAAATCTCAGCATAGTTTAACTAGTTAAGGCACTAGGTTCACAAGTAAAAGATTAGAGATTTGAATATTCATCCGTGAACTCAAATACACAAAGAAACTCTATGTTCTTAATCTTCCTCGTTTAAGTAAACAAATTTAAATGAAAATAGTGCATACCAAAGTCCAATAATGTCCAGGAATTTGGCTTTACGTCACCAGAAGGACTTCTACCATACTTCTTCTCAGCAAGATCTCTTATCCGGGATCTGCATTGCAAAATACAATTGAATAGTGAGTTTAAGCAATACCTTCATATGTAGAGGCAGTCAGAGAACAATAAACCAAAAAAGTAGTAGGTACCCGATAGCATCGATCTGAGGACGAGAAAATGCCGTTGCAATAATGAAAAATCGGGTCCAATAGACTAGAGGTTTCACAAACAGAACACGGATATCGGCAGCCTTTACGTCGCTAGCAACTTTCGCCATTGATACAGCAACTGTAGAGATAAGTATTGAATTGTTAGTTTACCAACCATTCCATGTAACAGAGGTTTTGATATCACAATGTACATGCAAACGGTACGTGTGTATTATGTACCGATCGTTCACTCATGTGTAGGAGCTTGTGGATTTAGGTATATATAAAGGATGTTTGGGCTTACAAGTCGAAAATGTGACAGTATTGTGTCATTCTAATGACCAGCCTTTTTTTTTCTTTCTACTTATTGAGAACATGAGATAATGAGATTTAACCTTTTCTGAGATCTCACATCGGTTGGAGAATAGAATGAAGCATTTTTTTAAGGGTGTGGAAACCTCTCCCAGAGTAGAAGTTTGAAAGGGAAAGCCCAAAGAGAACAATATCTGCTAGCAGTGGGTTTGGGTCGTTACAAATGGTATCAGAGCCAGACACCAGGCGGTATGCCAGCGAGGACGTTGGCTCCCAAGAGGGATGGATTGTGAGATCCTACATCGGTTAGAGAGGGGAACGAAGCATTCCTTATAATGATGTGGAAACCTCTCCCTAACAGATGCGTTTTGAAATTGTGAGGTTGATAGCAATACATAACGGGCCAAAGCAGACAATATATGCTAGTGGTGGACTTGGACTTTACAAATGGGATCAGAGCCAAACATCGGACGATGTGCCAGTGAGGAGGCTGAGCCTCGAGGGGGGTGGGCACAAGGTGGTGTGCCAGCAAGAGGATGCTAGGCATCGAAGGGGGGTGGATTGGAGGGATCCCACATCGATTGGAGAAGGGTATAAGCGTTAGTAAGGACGTTGGACCTCGAAAAAGGGTGGATTGTCAGATACCACATCGGTTGAGGAGGAGAACGAAGCTATAAGGATGTAGAAACATCTCCCTAGCATAAGTTTTTTATAAACCTTAAGGGGAAGCTCGAAAGGGAAAGTCACAATATTTGCCAATGGTGGGTTTGGGCCGTTACACTTTTTTACAAAAGCTTGTTCAATCTCTTCGGGATGAATCTGAGTTCTCTCTCTTTTTCAATTGAAAGGGCCCCTCGGGTGGAATCCATAAAGATAAACTATCTAAGACTACCCATCATACTCATAAGATGAAGCAGAGTATTTAGCAGGAAAAACACGACATGAACACAAAACATAAATCCACAGCAAACTTATGTCCATTTCTAGTTCTTGCTAATGACAGGAGAAGCTTACATGAAAGGCTTTCTGCGTCGTCATCAACTTCTGCAGTAGGAGGCTTTTGATCATTTCTCTTGAATACCACATTCCCATGTTTCTTGAACAAATCATCATACATATCATCCGTATCCTCGTTCATATTCTGCCACAAAGGATTGATTGGGTCAATCAATATATAACAGCAAAAATATCAAACATTTCCCTAAGAACTGATATCCAAATTTTGCATAGGTTTGATAACAAATTTCATTTAGATAAGCTTCTACCCTGAATCTTAAGTAGCTTCAGCTTCCAGAAATCAAAGGGAAAGGTAACATTTCGAACAATCAAGTTCTCCCTCAACGAAAACCCAGAAAACCACACAACAATCTTCCAAATACATCAACAAAACATGATCCATATTGGTTCCGAAAAGTTCAAAACAACAGTACCGATAAAAAGCTATCTTCAGCTTCTTTTCCGACGGAAAACAGCGGAGAAGACTCCATAGACTTCAAATGGAAGTTATGGGAAGAAGGTATCTTCCAAATGCAGTTTCGGGATGAAAAAGAGGACCCATTCCAACATGAGCACCAAAATTGTTTTCTGGGTCTTCCGGAAACTCTGAAATAATCGTGACCCAGTTGCCGAAACTCGCCGCCGAACGAGGTCACGGCGCCGGCACCGTGAAGAGATAAGACAATGGATAACGCCATGCTCGTTCCTACCTCGTTTCGTGCAGAAAGGAAACACTGGGACACCGTGGGGGAAGATATTTTACAACATCGAAGCAGTATCAATTTCTCAAATCAGTACTATTTATTCGGGTACTAACAAAAAAATTATAAAAACCTCTTAAAAAAATAGATAAATAAATGTTGAAATATAAATATACAAAATTTCTATTTCTTTTATACCTGTTCTATCTTCATTTTTCTCCTTATCAAAGTATAAAATACCATCAAATTCCAAAGAAAAAAAATCCTAAAATCAAAATTTTCCTTTCAAACTAGACAAAACGACAAAGAAATTTCATCTTCGATCAAGGAAAAACACATTACTGAATGTTGAAAATGTAATGAACATTGTCTGCCTAACATAAAAAGGCATTTCCTTGAAGGAGATGCAAACAATAATAATATAAATAAGACTTGTTTCTTTTTTTTTTAAAAAAAAAAAAACAAGATATGTACAAGAGATTGGGGAGTGTACAACGTTAAATCTCCTAGATGATTGGGATTCATGTCGAAAAAACTGAAGCAGCAGCAGCAGCAGCAGATGCATTTCAACTAACATATGGGTTAGATTTGGGGTACTCTACTTGGAAGTAAGGCCAAAAGGTTACAGGAGTTTATGTGAGAAGATAAGGAACAGAGGCTATGCTTTGCCTAAGCTTTGTGTTTTCAATAAGTTTAGGCAATCTTCCAACTGGTTGAGTGATTTCTCCATGGAACTAAGCAGTTTAGGCAATGTTTGGAGCTCTAGCATGATGTTCTTCTCCATTGTTTGCTCCCTATTTTGTGGCCTAACTTGAAGGGGCTCCAGCTCTTTCTCCGTTTTGAGGAGGTTTCACAGAACAGCCCAGAGGCTAAAGCCTCTTGAAGCCACAGCTCAAACTCTTCCTCATCTTCATCCATCATTTCAGCGTCCAATTCCCAAGGAAATCTGCTCGACTTCGATCGCTGCGTTGTTTTCCCTAAACCAACCATGTTTACATGGAAGCTTGGGCGATGAGTATTGGGCCTGCAAGCCATTCCCTGCTCCACCAAAGTAAACACTACAACTTACATTCTTGAAGATCACAGCATGATTGTAGCTACCTATATACTTAGGTACTACAAACCACTTACTTGACAAATCACCCATTCAGACACATCAAAGATCTTGCTCTCGGCACAAACGAATGCACGTGGTATATCCATCTACAAGGAAAAAGAAACTCATTCCTAATCAGTAAGACATGATCAAAATGAGGGATCCTTGAAGCCTGAGACCAAGCTTGAGCTTAAGCAAGTTAAGGAACCTACTTTTTGAGGCTTATCAAAGACCAGTGAACCTTTATATTCGACCCACCCGTCTCCATCCTTAGCTTGATGATATTGACAACAATCCTGACATCGAAGCATGTATCAAAACTAATTTTATTCTCAAACATAAAACTTACAGGGGTAGATTCAAATAAAGAGCTTGGGGAATAACCTGACACCATCTTGCCTTGGTCTTATTCCTATTCGTGCAGACCCATATGTGGGAATGTCCGCATTTACTGCACTGTATACGTCTCGACTCCTCTGAGCAATAATCGGAATTCATCTGCTTATTGAGTAAACTAAAAGTTACTAAAAACAAACAAGCTTCAAGAGCCACACAAAAAGATAAGAATACACATAAATCAAACTATAAAATGTAAGTATCGATCGTATAAAAATTATGCACGACCTGTTGTGAAGTCCCATAGGACTGGGACCTCTGGC